TGCTCTGGTATTGGTATTTCTTGAAGACGTTATTCACTGTATCAAGTACTTTTATTGCACTAGCTACATCCTTGACTGTCTGTAAAACCCATACTCAGCCCTTGGTCTCCTCTGGGATCTTCCTGAGAATTTGTTGATGTGCTCGTGCCTTTCCATTTAGGTCCTGGAATTCTGGTTCTGGTCTTTCAGTCATATGTTTGTCTACATCATCAGCTGCCATATGAAGAAGGAACTCTATAAAAAGTTAAATCCTACACTTTTTTCCCTCTAAAATTTTCATAGTGATGTCTTGTGTGAGACTTGGATTTTTTTTTTTTCAGCCTTAATGAAAGCTGCTCTCAGTTTCTGAGCTGCAGATAGATTAACTTGTTAAACACAGGATACATAACTGCATAGAGAGTCATGGAAGCCAGGGAAGTGGTCTCAGCTTCATTCCTCATTTCTTCCACTGTCATTCAAAAGCCATCCTCTTGCTTGCTCCTAAATCTTCATAAATCATTTTATCTTCCTTCTAGCAGCTGTGGTGTTGACCTGACTTCCCACATTTCTAGCCTTCCTTATCTTCTGGCAATATATCAGGCAATGGTTTGCTGGTATTCTTAATATTTTAGTGAATGCCCCATTACTGGGAGCTCCGGTGGCTTAGTGGTAAAAATTTGTGCTGTCAACCCCCAGGCACATGGTTTCAATCCACCAGCTTCTTTGTGGGAGAAAGATAAGCAATCTTGTCTCATATGAGTTATAGCCTTTGAAAACCTGTTGGACAGGTCATCTGTGAGTTGGTTCTGACTCAGCAGCACATACCATTATTATAGTAGTGGATGGTCAGTCTTGCTTCTTATTTAGTATGTCTTAGTCAGGAAGCTCCCCTGGAACCTGACCACCCTGGATGATCCTGCTGGTATTTGAAATGCATGTAAGTGTAACTATATATGAAACATGTCAGTTGGTATCCCATTGATTACTGGGGTCTTATTTTTTGCTGATGTCTTCAGTGCATTAACTTCATCTTTAGTTACCATTGGCTGTTCAAATGGTACTTCCTGAAATTTTTCAGTGTCAGCCAATTCTTTTTAGTATAGTGACTCTTTGATTTAGTAATAGGGACTTTTATGTGAGGACTTCCACCTTAAGGGGACACCCAGACAGTAGGTCCCAAAGCACAGTGTTTTCTGAAGGCCACCTACTCCCACAATAGAAGCAGCATTTGGACACAGTTCACTTCTTCACAACTGGAGCATAGCAACCTACAGGCTTTCTGATTATGATCCTAAATTCTTAATAATTCACCCAAAACACAGAGAAGAGACGCAAGTGAGTGAGAGTCTGGCAGGAGGTATGAGGCTTTGACTCAGGCTGTCCTGGTGGAATCTGGAGGCTAAGCCTAGGGGCTGTTTGGGTTTGCTGGTTACCCAATTTTGATGCTTCCTGTATCACTCAAGATTTGGCCCATAGCATCTCTGAGTATTGAAACTTGAGATTCAAAGTTGTTTTTTTCCTTTTTTCAGCTCTTTTCTCTTTTTATACTCTGACTCCAGCTCCTTGAACATTTCACTGTAATGTTCTGCTTTGTCTTCTTGAGCTGCCCTTTGAAATCTTTTCACCTCATTACTTTGACATCTCTTGCTTCTGTTTGGCTTCTCTAATACAGTTTTCATAGTCTCTTCTGACATCCCTTTTGGTTTTTCCTTTCTCCTCTGTCTACGTGGTGAAGCTTCATCTCTCATACTTTGGACATTTTGCTAGGAGAGGCTGTTTCTTGGAAAGGGACATCATGTTTGGAAAGACAGAGGGCCAGCAAGGAGAGGAAGTCTCCAGTGAGATGGAAAAACTATAGGAATGGGCTCAAGGATGTCAGAGATGATGAGGGTGGCAGAGGAGAGGAAAGGGTTCAGGTCTTTTGTTCCTAAAGTGGCGATGAGTTGTATTTGACTCAACAAACCTAACAACAACATAGAGGGAGCTCTGATGAAACTATACAGGTAGTTTCACTAACTTAAAAGCTGCACTTTTCTGGCAGTTTGAATTCACCTGCAGTTCTGAGGGAGCATAGTGGACAGTCTTCTTTTGTGTGATGTATAGTCTGAGAAACCCACTGGAGGATTAGCTATGACCTGGTTCCAATTGGATGGCACTGAGTTTGAGTTTGTATATATATGCATATGTATGTATGTAAAATATTGACAGATAACAGTAACTCTTCTCTCCCTTATTAACATGATTCCAAAGATCAGGTCATTATGTAAGAATTGCTGTTAAGGAGAATGACCACATATGATCAAAAAGTGATCTTAACTGCCATATTATAACATGGTCATGGTGCTAAATTACATCTTTACATAATGGCCGAGCTATTGAGAATCATGACCCAGCCAAGATGACACATAATTTTCACCAGTAAAGTCAAAGTTACTCTTATCTCATTCCTTGACACTTGTAATTGCTAAAGCATCAATGTGAAAAATAATCAGATAGTAGGTTTTTTTTACTATTGTCAAAAATGCATAATGTCAAATAATAATCTGGTCAATATGTGAGGTACAGGTACTTTTTAGACACAGGCTGTCAAGTAGTTTACTGAAAGCTTTAAGATCAGAGTCTAATGAAACAACTCAAACCAGCTGTTGTCATTTATAACATCTCTGTTCTCCATCCTAGTTTTGTACATCCTAGTGAGGGGTGTCTAGGGTCTTTAATGCTCATATGTGACCAACAAAGAGACAATTATTGGTCATATCTAGGAAACCAAAAACTCAGATACTAGTTTATAGGAACTATCTTACACAAAGCATGTTCTCATCTATCCTGAAAGCCTGAGAACTGGATAGTGCCTGGCTACCCCCACCACTACAGACTATCTGACCAGGGCCCCCATGAGTGGATCCCGAGAGAGTGGAGGGGGAAGAGTAGCAAAGGTGAAGTTCTTCCAAGAACCCACGTTCTTACAAAGCCTACATTTTTACTGGACCAGTTGAGACTAGACTAGAGGACAGAATATAGCCTTGAAATACCCTTTAATCTTTGAGCCAAAACTACTCCCAGAAGTCAGTCCTTTTTCAGCCAGATAACAGAGACTGGTGTGTAGAAGAAAGAATGTCACCTGTGAGTTCTGTGCTGCTTTAAAAACATCATCCATGTTTGAGATCAGGTGGTCAACATTTACTTTAAATCAAAGATTACTGGGAATGGAACAACTAAATTGTGAAAATGTTGATACATTGTGAGATGTCTCATCAGTGTCACTGAACAATTATTGACAATTAATAGCAATTATTAAGCAAAACCAAATCTGCTGTTGAATTGATTCCAACTCACAGCCACCTTTATGAGTACTGCCCATAGGGTTTCTGAGGCTGTAATCTTAATGGAGCTGACTGCCACATTTTTCTCCCATGGAGCATCTAGTGGGTTTGCTCACCTCTCATTTAGGCAGTGAGTGCTTAACCATGATTCCACCAGGATTTTTGATCAGGTTGTATAGATTGTTATCTAATTTTCTGTGTAAACATTCACCATAAAGTATATTTAAAAAACAAAACTCTGTTGCTATCATGTTAACTCTGACTCAGGGCAGCTTATATTTCAGAAAAGAAATGTGCTCCATATGCTTTCCAGTGGCTGTAATCTTTCAAAAGTAGTTAAGCAAGTCTTTCTTCCAGTGTACCACTGATTTGAACTGTTAACCTTTTGATTATTAGTAACTGAGTACTTAAATGTTTGTTCCATTTAAGGATTCAAACCAGTCGTCTTTGAGTCAGTTCTGACTCACAAAGATGTCATGTATTTGGGAGTCAGCTGTGGTCCTTTAAGATTTCAATGACTGTTATCTTTTGGGAAGTAGTTTGCTAAACTTTTTTTCTAAGATGTCTCTCAGTGGATTTGAACGAATAACCTTTCAGTTACAAGTTGAGTGTTTAACTGTATGTCATCTACTGACTGAGTTAAGGTTGTATGTACTGTAGGAGCTGTGATGGCATTGTAGTCCATTGGTGTTGTAGTGCTAACCAAAAGCTTGTAGATCTCAAAATAGGGAAATTACTTAGTAACCCAGGATTCAGTAAAGATCAGAAGCCTAAGAGAGAGATGTGGCAGAAGGGGATCTGGGAGACATTCAAAGACTGAAAGGAGTTTGACTCACCAAAGCTGAAGAGAGACTACATAGAAAGCATGGCAAAAAGTACAGGCAGCCTGTAGGAGCAAAGGCCTGCCCGTGTCTGACAGCCAGCGAAGAGATGAGGCTTCAGTCTGACAGTAGTGCAAGGAACTGAATTCAGCCTGATTGAGCTTGGAAGTAGATTCATCCCCAGAACCTCCTTAGAGAAATACAGCCCTCTTAATATCTTGGTTTTGTTTGGCCTTGTGAGACTCTGCTTAAGCAGAGGACTTAACTGAGCTACCCTGTTCCCAGATGTGACCTTCAGGACTGTAAGATAATAACTTTGTGTTGTTTTAAGCTGCCAAAATTGTGGTCATTTTTCCCCAGCAGCAGCTGCAGCAGAAAACAGGTTTAAGCAGGAAGTAGTATCAGCTTCTATATTATTGAAAGATCATTCCTTGTCTTATGTTTAAAGTGGATTTGAGAAGAATGTAAATTTGGAGGCAAATAAACGCATGCACAAGAATACAGTAATGGCTTGGGTTGAGGTAGAGGTGGTGGGAAGAGGATATGATTTGGAATTTATTTTGGAAGTCATGTTCTCAAAATTCAGCCATTGATTGGATGTCAGGGATGAGGGAGAGGGGGAGTGAGGGTGACAGCCGATTTCTGGCTTGAGTGCTGGGTGACTGATGTTTCTTGAGATTGTATTTAACAGTGGAAGATGTCATGCCTTAAATTCAGTGGAATTCTCGGTCATCTTTCATGTCGGTATTTTCTCTGAATACTTTAAGTAGATTTTTAGATATCCTTAAGATAGGAATATTATCACTGAGATGATTACATTATCTTTTATGATTTGTTTTCTCTTTAGGTCATGTAGGAAATTGCAAATCATGTGAAGATGGGCCTCTTGGTATTTGTACGCAATCTGCTGCTAGCCCTCTGCCTCTTTCTGGTGCTGGGATTTCTGTATTACTCTGCGTGGAAGCTACACTTACTCCAGTGGGAGGACTCCAGTAAGTAGAGATGCTCTAGCCCACCCAGGGGGAAACGTATTACACATCATTTATCTGGCTGATAATGTGTCTTGTGATGCCTTCATAATCTTTAGAGACAGATGTTGAGAAAAAACTGAATATTTCTGGGGCTTAGACTTAGAAACTGTCCATCACTTTAGGCCAAGAATTTTGAAGGTTGTTTTTTTTTTAAGCCTGTTGTCATAGCAAATACCACTTCCATTTATGAAACTAGCAAGAATGGAGGTGTTCTTGAAGAAAAACTCAAATTTGTACTAACTCTTGCATGTGTTTTAGCATCTATTTATTAACAATTTAACAATATTAATTTCATTATGTTCGTCTATTTAATAGATGGGATATTGTCACTCCTGTTTGCCATTAATTGTCTTGGGACTTGGCATTAAAGTTGATTTTTCTTCTGCTCTTAAAACATTTATTTATCTTTGCCTTTCCTTTAATCTTTAATGTCATCTTTGTTTTGCTTTTCTTAAAGAAACGTTTTGCTTAATCTCTTTAGCTTTTGCTGCTGTTGAACCTACACCTGATTAGAATGATTTCTTTTCCCTAATCAGTAACTCCTGATTCTTCTTTATCATTTGTGCATTTAATCCTGTGTGTTACATAGTACTCTCCACATAGATCCTCAGCCCTCCGAGCTGGTTTGGATTCATCTGATGCTGTGTATTTTGCTTGTTGACTTGCAGTTGAAGTGCGTGAACCTTTACACATTGTCTTCTTAGTTGCAGTTCTAAGTATCATATAGTGACTCTAAGTGGTTTTCCTCTTTGTCTGACAGCTGTTTCAGCTTGGTGCAGGGTCTGTTGGGATAGGGTGTCTATTCTGATTCCCAGTGAATGTCTCGTGTCTAGTTTTATTTGTATAAACATCAACTGGAGGCCATTGTGAAAGTCACTTGATAATAATGTTACTTCTTAAAATGCGTTAGAAGGGCACTTGACAGATTGGATTACCTTTGTATTGAGACCCTAATGTGGGGACTATTCCTGTGAAGTAGTTTGTTTCTTTATCACTTAGCTCTAGTTGTTGAAGCCATTTCAAGCCAGTTTTAAAAATGTAGTGTTACAGTTTTAATTTATTGTTTTCTTTGCAAAGTTGAAGTGCCTGTTAAATGCTTAACTTATAATTACAACTAATTACTTTGTATTTAAAGAGTTTATTCTGTACAGTCCTTCCTTGAAACATTTCCAAAGTATGTCAGAGTCAGAGGAAGCTTCAGAATCCTTGCTTCTAAGGAGCAGCCTGGTTTAATCCTCTCTAGGATGAACCTTTTTGTTCTCTTAGCAATCCATGGTACCAGTCCTTGGAAAGGGACGTCATGCTTGAGAGGGTGGAGGGACAGCACAGAAGAGGAAAACCCTAAATGAGATGAATTGATTCAGTGACTGGGGTAATGGGGGTAGGTGTGTCAGAGACAGTAAGATGGGCACAGGATAGAGCAGGGTTTAGGGCTGTTGTACATAGAGTTGCTATCTATCAGTCGCAGGTGACTCGACAGCACATAACAATGACACAACAACAATACTATGCAGACTTGTTTAAGAGGACGTTTGTGTTTTATATCTTCAAGGTCACACACGTACACACAAATCTACACATACAAAGAGTGAATGGGGATTTTTTTAAATCTAACTAAGAATATCATGCATTTTGCCTGTTTTGGGAATACATACCCTATGTTTATCTTAAAAATTAAAAACTCCCACTTGTTGCCATCAAATTCGTTCTGACTTATATGGACTCTCCACTAGGGATCTAAAGCTGTAAATTGTAACAGGAGACTGACTGCCCATCTTTTTCTCTCATGGAGCTGCTAATGGATTCAAGCCATCAAAGATGCCCTGAGCTTTGGTTTAGTAGCACACCTTTCTATGAATGAAACAACCACAGCTTTCTAAATATGTCTTAATTTTACTAACAAAATCATATTGTATGTTTCATAAAATCTTCTAAAATAAATTAACAGGATCAAACATCCTCCCGACAATAGTTGTTGTTATGTGCCGTTGAGTCGCTTGCAACTCATAGCGACCCTGTGTACAACAGCCCTAAACTCTGCTCTGTCCTGTCTCTGATACACCTATCCTGATTACCCCAGTCACTGAATCAGTCCACCTCATAGAGGGCCTTCCCCTTCTGCACTGTCCCTCCACCCTACCAAGCATGATGTCCCTCTCCAAGGACCCTCCTTACAACATGTCCAAAGTATGTTAGACGGAGCCTCAGAATCCTTGCCTCCAAGGAGCCACCCACCCGGTTTAACCCTTTCCAGGATGAATCTGTTTGTTTTCCTAGCAGTCCATGGTACCCTCAGTGCTCTTCTCCAGCACCACAGCTCAAAGGCATCAATTCTCCTTCTGTGCTCCTTAGTCATTGTCCAACTCTCTGATGCATAACAAGTGATTGCAAAGACTGACCATAGTAGTTAGTCAGTGAAAACATACACAGATGCAATGCCTGTCCTAAAAGATGTTTCCATGCAGTGCTTTATTTTTTTTTAACTGGTTTACTCACAAAGTTCATATACAGTTGTTTTTCTCACTGAATCTTTCCCATTTTCCTTTATCTACCACCTCTCCCTCCATCCATCAAATTGTACGACCCTATGAATAACAGCCCCCATCCTCATCTCTCTGCTCGTCCCTCCCACCCTTGGATCCTTATACTTGTTCTACAATAATGGTCTTATACAGTATTTGTCTTTATGGGACTGAGTTAGTTCACTTAGCATAATGCTCTCCAGTCCCTCCTAAGTTAGGTAGTGATTTACAAAATCATTGCTCCTGCGTGCTCTGTAATATTCCATCGTGTGAATGTACCATAATTTCTCAATCCGTTCATTTGTGGTTGGACATTTGGGCTGTTTCCATGTTCTTGCGATGGTGAATAATGCTGCTATGAACACTGGTGTACAAATCTCCCTTTGTGCCTCAGTTCTCATTTTCCTTGTGATCAAGGACCCGGCAAGGATGCTCACTGTATTTACTTAATATTGTATTATAAGTGCTTACTAGGGCAGTATGACAAGACATGCAGTGCTTTTAAACATTGTTTCCAATATACATATCTTTTATAATGCTAATAGACAATGTTTTCTACTATGTACTATATTTATGGCATAAAACTACAATTTAAAATACTTATAAACATTAGTTTGTTTCTATCATCTTGTTTTTTGATGGTGGATTTTATTTATTTTTCAATTCATTCAGTTTGAGGATTTTGTTGTTTTGGTGTAAGGAGACAGATTTTTTTATTTTTAATATGGAACACTTCATGGATTTGCATGTCATCCTTGCATGGTGCCATGCTAGTCTTTTCTGTATTGTTCCACTTTTAGTGTATGTGCTGCCAAAGCGAGCACAAGACAGATTTATTTTTAAAATCACAAAGTACACAGTGCAGTGCAGTAGTGGAGCCAGGAGTTGTATATATCACCATGCATGGACTCTGGTGCATCTGTAATCTCTTTGGGGCTATGTGCTGAGGTAGGGATCTCCTTTTCTGTTTGGAGCTACTAACTTATGGAAATAAGTGTTGTTGTTCTATACCATGGAGCCGGAACCAACTCAGAGCCGAATCTTTCTCCAGTAAGCCAACAGAGATCCCATGGAAAGAATTAGAATCAGAAATTTCCCCAGAAAAGCAGGGAAGGCAATGCATTTTCTATTGAAAATCTATTGTTTGCCAGGTATGGTGCTGTACATCTTGTTGTTATATGCTGTCGAGTCTCCTGCGACTCAGAGCAATCCCATGGACTACAGCCTTAAACCCTGCTCTGTCCTGTGCCAATCTCATTGTCTCTAATACACCTACCCTCATTACCCCAGTCATTGAATCAGTCCATCTCATCTAGGGTCTTCCTTTCCTGTGCTGTCCCTCCAGCCTCCCAAGCATGACATCCCTCTCCAACATCATCCCTCCTTGTAACATGTCCAGAGTATGTCAGACAGAGCTTCAGAATCTTGCCAGAATTTCTAGCTGGGTTCAGAAGACGCCGTGGAACAAGCGACACCATTGCTGATGTCACATGAGTCTTAGGTGAAGGCAAAGAACATCAGAAAGATGTCACTTGTGTTTTATTGACTCTGCAAAGGCATTTGACTATATGAATCATAACAAATTATGGCCAACATTGAGAAGAATGGGAATGCGAGAAACTTAATTGTGCTCATGTAAAAACTGTACATAGATCAAGAAGCAGGTGTTTAAACAAAACAAACAGGCACTGCATGGTTTGAGATCAGGTAAGTGGTGTGTCAGGGTTGTTTTCTTTCTCCATACCTGTTTGGTCTGTATGCTGGACAAATAATCTGAGACACTAGACTATATGAAGAAGAATGTGGGATCAAGACTGGAGCAAGACTCATTAACAATGTGTGTTATGCAGATGACACAACTTGCTTTGCACAAAATGAAGACTGGAAGCACTTACTGAAGAAGATTGGATATTATACCCTTTAATATAGATTTTTCTTCACTATTAAGAAAAAGTTTCTGAGGGTACCGTGGACTGCTAAG